ATAGGGAATACCACAGCCTGGTGTTGGCTGTTTCTACTGGGGAGGGAGGGTGGGGGGAGATTGTTACTATTCTCCTGGGCCAAAGACCCTTATTTTCTGAGTTGTCCTCAGCTTCTGCATACCTCAGATCTTGTGCAGCAGGCCAGAGATGAAGACCTCAGTTGGTTTATAACAACCAGCAGCTTATTGACCGTAGCCACCTAGGCATCATCACTGTGCATGTCCAGGAATTTGTACACATCAGTCTCCAGCTCCAAGATTTCTTCTTCCTGCCAGTAGTAAAGGCAAGAATGCTGCTCCAGGGTCATACTTGACCATGACCTTCTCATGGCGCTTCATTGGGCCCTCACCAGCAGCTTCAAGGGGCCTGTGAAAGTATATGCCAGGTCTTGGATCAGGGCTGCCAAACCTGGGGACCCAACTGCCAACAATGTACCCCTGCTGGTTTGCTGTCAGCCAGATCAGATTCCTCATCACTTTTGTATGACAGGCCTTGTCCTGCACTTAACACTCCCTGACTGACTCCAGAACACTGGAAGGGGTTAGGTCACTAGCTTGGCTCCTCTCACGTCTTCAGGGGCAGAGAACCAGTAGGGCAGCTGCATCATGGGGGGCCCCAGGCCTGCCTGTCTCATTCTGTCTCCTATCTCTCTGTTCTGTCCCCTGAACCTGCTGTCTGAGCTCTAAGACACTTTGCAGAATGAAAGTTTTGAAGAGATTCCTTAAATGTGCAAAACTTTAACATCTCCTATAAAACAAATGTAGCCCACAGGGAGGGCTGGGTTGGTTAAGGTGGGACTCTTCAGTTAAGCTCAGGTCATGATCTCAGTGTTGGTGAGATTGAGTCCCAAGTGGGGACTGACCCCTGGACTGACAGTGTACAACCTGCTTGGAATTCTCTCTCTGCCTCTTCCTCAAATAAAAATAAACATTTTTTTAAAATAGCCCAATTCCACTAGCTTGTAAAGAAATTAGTATATTTTGTCAAAACAAGATGCACTAGTAAGAACAAATTTGTGTACTAAATTCATGTATAATTTTTTTTAATGTTGAGTTTTTTGTGTTTTTTTGTCTGAGAGAGAGAGGGCCAACAGGGCATGAATAGAGATTTTTAACAAGTAATCTCTTTTCTGTTTATGTTTATTTATTATTTTGAGAAAGAGCTTGAATAGGAATCTGTAACAGACTCTGCAGAGCCACACACAGGGTGCAGGGCTCTATCTCACACCCTGAGATTGACACCTGAGCAGAAATCAAGAGTTTGAAGCTCAAGCAGATGAGCTACCCAGGTGCCTCATCAAAATGACATTTTTTCAATATAAGTCTCCTTTGGTCCATTTTCAACAACAAAATTGGCAACTATGAAGAGTCCCTGGGGATAATCCCCTGCAGAAACTTTGTAGCTTGATTGGAGCTTCCTAGGGCAGTTTTCCACCAGGTCTCCCTTGAGGAGTGGAGGGATGGAATCACTCTGGAGACCAGATCCTCAAACTTGAGAAAGTGGTATTTCAAGAGCTTCTCCCAAACTGTAGGTAAGGTTTAAGGCCCCAGTTTCTCAAGTGGCAGGTGCTACACAGGTGGGTATTGGCTTAGTGGGACAGAGGAAACCAGAGATTTCTTACTCTGATTTCATCACCAGAAAACCAGCTTCCATTAAGAGGGCAAGGTTTGGGATTTGTTGAACAGCATGCAGTTTTTGTATGTGAAATAACATGGGAGGCATCCTTTCTATTCCATGTAACAGGTCCCTAGGGAGAATTTTGGCTGGTTGGTTGACTATATAAGTGTATGTCAGAAAAGGTCATGGTGTTTTATGTAATTGTGACTGACTTCTGGATTTTTTGAAAAGGGAAAGAGGATGATATTCTGCATATACAGGTCTTTGTGCAATTGCATAGGAGGGATGGTATACAACTAGGCAGTAAATTGATGGTGCAGTGGAAATGTCAATGGCAACATCCTGTGTTCCACTCCTCTAGAACCCTGGAAAATAGTGAATGAGGACATGTTAACTTTGAGGGTAGTGAATCTCTTTAATCCAATTTATAATAACTAGGGCAGCTACTTTTTGGTAACAGAAAAAAACACTGCAGTTGAGTCTGTTTCTCTCTCATCCCTCTGCCCTTCATTGCTAAGTGGAGGAGTGGAGAGAAGTTGCCATCAATGAAAGAACTTCCAAGTCATGACCCAGAAGCAGGCATGGTCTGCCCCTCAAAGACCCAACAGGGCACACAGTTTCAACAGGGTCCACCTGATAAGGGCATAAGGCAATTCCCAATGTGCCAACTACCCATTGGAGCCAACAGACTAAGTCAAATAACCACTTATTACTGGGCTTACAAAGTCCATTCTGTGCCTCAGATTTGTTGAAATCTAAAAACTCTTCATGTAGAGATGATCCTTAAAAAATGGTTGAGGGTGCTGGGTAGCTCAGTTAAGTGTCCCAACTTTGGCTCAAGTCATGATCTCGCAGTTAATGGGTTTAAGCCCCGTGTCGGGCTCTGTGCTGACAGCTCAGAGCCTAGAGCCTGCCTGAGATTCTGTGTTTCCCTCTCTCTGCCCCTCCCCTGCTCACACTTGTCTCTCTCTCTCTCAGATATGAATGAACATTAAAAAAAAAAAAAAAAAAAATGAATACACTGATTTACTTGAAGAGGGCCCTGAGAATACATGGCTAGTCAAAATGTTCTTCGCTGGGCAGAGCGCTCCTGACGTCAGACAAAAGCTAAACAAAGTTGAGGGTGCTGTGTCCAGCCTGTTTGGTGGAGATTATATACAAGACTTATAATGCTAGGGAAGAACAAAAGGTGAGACTGATTTGAGTTTTGCTTTTGTCATCTGGTCAAAGAGACCAACCAAAGGGCAAGTCGGGACATCCCAGGTTGAGCAAAGACCAGTGTGTCTATTGTAAAAAAGGCATAGGAAGTGAGATTGCTCAACGTTTTCTAGACAGGGAAAGGAAGGCCACATTGAAACTTCTGGGAAACAGATGGTCATTCAAGGGGAAGGATGGGACAAGGATAGTGAATGAAGGGACCCAGTGCTTAGAGCCATATCAATGGCCCCTTTTAGAATAGCCCCACAAAAACCCCACATGCATTTAATGTGGAGTCTGGGTTGATAAACTATTTGGTAAATACTGGAGAAATCTATGCGGTCTTAAATAGTAACTGACTTCATTAAGTCCTTCTACTCTGTCTATGGTTAGCGTCACTGGTTGGGTACAACAGTGTCCTCTTACAGCCACTGTAATGTAAATGAGGTAAACAGAAGTTGAGACATAGTTTTTTACACATGCCTGATTGTCCAATTCCTCTTGTTCTGCAAGATGTTTTATAAAAAGCAATTTAAATGCTCAAATAACTTTCTCATCTGAGAAATGCCAATCACGATTACAAGATTGTGCCATAAGGCTTCAGCTGATGGTATTGAATGCAGAAGACCGTAAGGCGGCCTGGGACCACCTGAGTTGTGTGAACAAGTGAGTACCACTGTTTGGGCAGGTGGGATACCTGGGTGAATTAAGTCAGCCACTCCAATAGTAGCACTGTTGAAAGAAGAAACAAAATTTCTTCATGTTAAACAGTGGCTTTAAAGGAGGAAACATTAGGGTATCTGGCCAACTCAAACAGTAGACAATGCAGCTTTTGATCTCAGGGACATGAGTTCAAGCCCCACATTGGTCATGGAGGCCACTTAAACATAGGTAGGTAGATAGACAAAGACAAGACAGACTGGATGGATGGATGGATGGATGGATGGATGGATGGATGGATGGATGGATGGATGGATGGATGGATGGATGGATGGATGGATGGGTGGATGGATGGGTGCATGGATGGATGGGTGCATGGATGGGTGGATGGATGGGTGGATGGATAGATGGTTGGGGTCTATAAAAGGTGGATGGATGGATGGATCAATAGATATATAGATACATAAAGAAGTAGTAAGAGCCTACAACTAGTTTTCAATCAGTTTTAGTAACATGGGCTGATTCACCCTTACCAGTTTCCCTGTAACCCTACCATTTCACCAGTGAGGAAACCTCATTTGGAGGAATATGTCTTTGTTCAAGATTTAAGGGCTATAAAGTTTAGGATATCCATCCCACAATCCATACAAATGACTAGTGTGCCATGACACTATAGATGGTTTATAGTGTTGGAGTCAAAAGATGTCTTCGTCTTCTTTGATATTCTTTTGGAAGGAAAGTCTCAATTGCTGTTTGCCTTTGAATGACAAGACCCAGACGTGGGTCATTATCCAGTATTGTTGGACTGTACTCCCTCAAGGCTTCAAAAATTCGCTTACTTAATTCAAGTAAGGAGCTAGGTAAGGACTTCTACAGACTACATGTAGACCAAGATATATTATTGCAATATGTTGATCTGTTAATAGCCAGCCCTGATCATGAACATTGTCTAGAAAATGCCATCAGTGTGTTTAATCACTTGGGCTGGTATGGGTACAAGGTTTCCACTAGGAAGCTAAAATTTGTAAACAGCAAGTCTCCTATCTGGATTTCCTGTTAAATCAGGGAAACTGAAGTTTAATGGCTAGTGGAAAGCAAGCCATTTAGGATTTGAATATTCCAAGAAATCAGAGACAGTTATGCAGGTTTTGGGTTTGGCTTGATTTTGCAGAATCTGAATAGTGAATTTTGGCCTTATGGCTAAGCTCCTTTATGAAGCCTTAAAAGGGCTCAATTTAGAGCCCCTAGTATGGTCTGGATTGTCAAAAAGCCTTTGAGACAAAATGGTCACCTTAGTCCACCACCACCTTAGGACACTCTGATATGAAAAATAATTTTTTTTAAACATTTACTTATTTTTGAGAGACAGAGAGAGGCAGGGGAGGGGAAAAGAAAGGCTCTGAGCTGTTTGTTAGCACATCAGGCTAACTCGATGTGGGGCTCAAACTCATGAACCACAAGACCATGACCTGAGCTGAAGTCAGATGTTCAACCGACTGAGCCACCCAGGCGCCCCTGAAAAACAGTGTATTCCTGAAAGGCAGAGGCTGGCCTTGGGAGTGCTAATACAAATGATGGGAAAATTCCATGTCCTGTCCCTGGACAGTGTGGTAACGATATTGCCCTGTGCTAATGTGCACTGGCTGCCACCTGTGACTTACTACAGGAAGCAGAAAAATTCATGTTATGGATAGGACAGTCCATTGTTACATAGGTGCCCCACCAAGTGTTGGTTCTATTAGAATAAAGGGGAAGCTATTGGTTGATCCCAAGCCCAAGCAATACTTTCTGATAGCCCAAATGTCACTTTAAAGATTGTGAGTTCTTGGGATACCCAGGTGGCTCAGTCAGTTAAGTGTCCAACTTGATTTCAGCTCAGGTTGTGATCTCACAATTCATGGGAACGAATTTCACATCACAATGTGCTGACAGTGCCAAGCCTGCTTGGGATTCTGTCTCCCCCTCTCTCTGCCCTTCCCCCAGTCACTCTGTTTCTTTCTCTAAAAATACATAAGTGAACTTAAGACCATGAGCTCTTTAAATAAACTGCTGTGCTGCTTTCTGTTTCAAACAAGTCTCTTCTATAATGGTTTGGAGATTCTTGAAACTATGTACTCTAGGAAGCTTGATTTATGTGACCAGCCATTGACATAGGCTGACTCGCACTTGTTTACTAATGGTGGTTTTCTTGACCACAAACACTGCTAAGCACGTTATGGCATGGTGAATGGCTGGGGGTTGTGAAGCAAGAGTACTTCACAATCTCCCACCCCCAGGGCACATGAGCAAAAAGGCAGAATTAAACCCCCACAAGCTTTGCAACTTTCCCCTGGGGAAAAAAAAGTCTATATAGATTTCTAAATATAGTTTATGGTGGTGCAGTATCAACAGGGTAACATGGGATGGGTGGTGTTTGCTGACAGCAGGAAATCAGGATTTTTTTTTTTAATTTTTTTTTCAACGTTTATTTATTTTTGGGACAGAGAGAGACAGAACATGAACGGGAGAGGGGCAGAGAGAGAGGGAGACACAGAATCGGAAACAGGCTCCAGGCTCTGAGCCATCAGCCCAGAGCCTGACGCAGGGCTCAAACTCACGGACCGCGAGATCGTGACCTGGCTGAAGTCGGACGCTTAACCGACTGCGCCACCCAGGCGCCCCAGGAAATCAGGATATTAAATATATCCCAGAGATATGTGCTGTCATGCAAACTCGATCTGAGCCAAAGGCCATGGCTAGCATGCACTACCTGGGACATCAAAAATTAGACTGCTGGGGCACCTGGGTGGCTCAGACAGTTGAACATCTGACTTCAGTTTGGGTCATGATCTCCAGGTCCGTGGGTTTGAGCCCCATGTCAGGCTCTGTGCTGACAGCTCAGAGCCTGGAGCCTGCTTCAGAGTCTGTGACTCCTCTCTCTGCCCCTCCACCTTTCAAGCTCTCTCTCTGTCTCTCTCTCAAAAATAACCATTTAAAAAAAAATTAGACTCTTGTGTGGTTCAAGGTAATCAAGCAGCAGATAGAGCAGACAAATGAGCAACAGCCAGTCATCAGTTTGAAGGAGCCTATTGCCCCAAGTGGATTTGATCCAGTTTTCTCCTGTGTAAGATGAGGACAACAAAAGGATAGAGAAATACGAATTTGACTGGTGGTACCCTACTCATTAATGGGAATCAGTTCTCATGGTCTTGTGATACTGCCTGATACCACATTTGCCCTGTCTGCCTAAGGAATAATCTAAAAGTTAATAAATTTGCCAGTGGGAATATAACATATGGGAGAATGCCCTTATTATGACTGGCACACTGATTTTACCCAAATCCCACAAACTACTGGGGACTTTCCATGCTTACTAGTCTCTATGTATATCTTCTTGGGCTATGTGGAGGCTTTCCCCACATGAAGTGAAAAGGCAATTGAGAAGGTTGTCAAAGTGTTCCTTAAGGAAGTTAAATCCAAGTTATAAGGTCCTTACCTCTATCCAAAGTGATAATGGACCCTCCTTTACTACAGTAGCAACTCCATGAGTAAGCAAGGTTTGGGTATTAAATGGAAATTACATGCATCATGGAAGCCCCACTCTATAGGAAAAAAAAAATTCTCATCCTACTTAAAAAAAATGTTTACTGTTCAGAGACAGAGTGTTAGTTGGGGAGGGGCAGATGGAGACAGAATCTGAAGCAGGCTCCAGGCGCCAAACTCAGCACACAGCCCTACCCAGGGCTCGAACCCATGTATTGTGAGATTGTGACCTGACCCAGAGTCACTCGATTGAGCCACCCAGGTGCCCCAAAATGAATCCTACTTTAGAAAAGACAAAAAGCTATGCCGATAAACAACTGAAATGGGATCAAGTCCTATCAATTGTCCTTCTCTGCATCTGAATGACCCCTAGAAAGGGGCTGCAACTAATCCCCTATGAGATTATGTATTATAGGTCAGTCCTAACACCCCAAGGTAGGAGGGAAAATACACATTTGGTTCAATAAATAAAACTAAAATGATATATTCAACAATTGAATCAGTTACTAATAATAACTATGCATGAGTTTGTTTCTTTCAGAAATCCAGCCCAACCAGAAGCACCACAAAACTTTTAAGGCTTGCAGCTAGGCTTCCTCATTCAACATGAGGAAAGAACAGGGCCCAGATCATCAGTTGGAAGAGAAACGGAAAGGACCATACAATGTTCTCTTGACAACCCACATATCCCTCAAGTTGGCTGGAATAAATTAACCTTGGGTGCACCATATTCAGGTTAAACGGAACCAGTCCCAAAGAAAAGTCAACCCTTGGGAGATTTGAAATACTTATTTAAGAAAATAAAAATGAGTAATGGTGCAATGATACTTTACTTTCTATTTGCCTTCTCTTTAGGATGGAGAGATAATTCCCTAGTTCACCCTGTTCAGGCCTTGTACTCATCCAAATGGGCCACTGAGTGCTGGATGTGCCTTCTGAGAGCACAGTGTGCACTGTATTACTGTGACACACTTGTACATCCAGTAAGGAAGTTTACCTAGTCACCCTAATGGACAAGGGACTACTGCTGAAGCTTCCCGATCCCGCACAGTGATTATAGGTTCAGGATAATATATTATCCTCACAGAAGTAATTTGAAATTGCATGGCCTCAGATTATATGTTGGCCAACCAAGGAGGTGTTTGTATGATTGCAAATGCATCCTGCTATGCATATGTAAATACTTACCAAGCTGAGACTGGTGTGGGAAAAATGCAACAACAGGTTACAACCTGGATGCAACAATCTCTAGCTCATCAAACTCCTGTATTGGAAGGAATGGACAAGTTCTGACCAACTGGTTCTCAGGTCTGTTCTCATGGATCCCAGATGGAGTTAAATTCTTGGGGATTTCTTGTTTTCTTCTAGAAATCCCAGGAATGTATGCACTGCTAAAGGCTATCCTTTGTTCTGTGCCTTATGTCTGTAAACATACCCTATCCATCTTAAAAGCCAGAAAGGGTAACTGGGAAAAGCAAATTCAAGTTTTACACCGTAAAAGTCCCCTGACAGGAAGCAACCAGATGAGTATGATGCCCCTCTTCCATAGAAATGGAACACTTAAAATAACAGTGGTATACTGAAACCATGTAAATGCATAAAGCTGAACAAAAGTAAAATGCACTAATACTACAGCAAAGCTCAATTTTAAAGTAACCTTTTTCTTCTCTTCCTCTCCTCCCTTCTTAGCCTCTGTTACAAGAACCTGGTAACACCGTAAAGAAGTGAAGAAGGGTGGCAGCACAGATACAATTCCTGTCAAAACTGGCCAGATCCCATATTTTCCTATAAAACAATCCAGCCCCTTCTTCCACAAAGCCTTGCAGCTTTTTGAAGACCACTGTCTGCTGCACTGTCTTTTGCCCAGCAAAGCAATAAAGCTATTCCTTTTTATCTCAGACTCTGTCTTTGCATTATATATTGACTCTAAAGCATAGAGGTCAGTTTTCAACATTAATTCTGATTGCATCATGATCAGTGAATCTCTACCTAGAAAGATAAGAGAATGTTAAAAATAATTATTTTCAGCATATTTTTAAACTATTCACTAAGGTGAATTTTTTTTTTTTTTTTTAATTTTATTTATATTTTATTTTATGTACACACAAGCGGGGGAGGGGCAGAGAGAGAGGAAGAAAGAAAGAATCCCAAGCAGGTTCCAGGCTCTCAGCGCAAAGCCTGATGCGGGACACAGTCTGAACTGTGAGATCATGGCCTGAGCCAAAACCAAGAGGTAGACATTTAACTGAGTCCCCAGGATCTCCTATAAGGTGAATTTTAAATCCACTTCAAATTACTATTTTCGTAGGGCTATGATACTTAGGCCAGCTGAAGAGTTCGCTTTGAAGTACATGAGGGACTACCTGGAGAGTTTTTAAGGCAGTTTTTTTCCTCTCCTAGAGACTAAGTCTATAAATGTAGCCTATGACCCAGAAACCTGTGAGTTACGTGTGTAACCTTTGTTGAGTTAAAAGCCACTTCAACTGCGTCATGCAAAACAAACAAAAAACATTATTTTGGTGAATTTAAAATATTGAGAAGTACAGTTGTCATGATTTCAAAATGTCCTTCCAGTTGCTAAATGCTGAGAGTTCAACCCTGCTGTAAATGCCAAAAATTTTTCCTTGAAGACCCCTAACTACATTTCCAGGAGCATTCTTTATAAAAATGAAAGGTACTTTAGAACTAACAGGCATTTAGTTAGTTCATTATTATATTAAGAAACTTGCTTAAAGATGCAAATAAAAGGAAATAAATCATTCATATACATTCTCATTTCTTGTGTACTGCATCTTTTACCATATTATTAATGATGTCTCCAGTGTTGACAATATGACCGATCAAAATCTGCCACCTTAAAATGTACCACCCACGCATGAGGGTTATGAGTTGAAGTCAACAGACAAAAGGTAGACATGGTATGAGCTTTCACATTTCCCTATATCTGCCTGAAAACAGATCATAAATCCCCTTTGTGATCCTGTTCCTGCCACTCTACACTTATCACTGGAGAAGAGTTGGCACTGAAGAAATCTACAGAGACAAACTACTAATGAGCCCTTATCTACTATTGTTTACCCATGTATTTGCCTTCCCACAAGGTGCCACCCTTTGAAGCTCAAAGTCCTTTCCCTTGGTCTTGTCACTTATAATTTACCTAGGGTCAACTTGCTGGTTCAGTGACTCTTCATCTAAGCATCATGGGTTCGAGATCCACATTGGGTATAGAGATAAATAAATAAACTTTAAAACAGGGACCCTGGGTTGCTCAGTCAGTTAAGCATCTGACTTGATTTCAGCTCAGATCATGATGTCATGTTTCGTGAGTTCAAACTCCACGTTGGTCTCTGTGCTAGGCATGATGCCTGGTTGGGATTCTTTCTCTCCTTCTCAGTCTGCCCTTCTCCGTTACACATACAAATGCACACACATGCGCGCACTCTCTCTCTCTCGCTCTCTCTCAAAATAAACATTTTTTTAAAAACCTTAGGGGCGCCTGGGTGGCTCAGTCAGTTAAGCATCCGAGTTCAGCTCAGGTCATGATCTTGTGGTCCATGAGTTTGAGCCCTGCGTCAGGCTCTGTTCTGAGAGCTCAGAGCCTGGAGCCTGCTTTGGATTCTGTGTCTCCCTCTCTCTCTGATCCTACCCCATTCATGCTCTGTCTCTCTCTCTCTCTCAAAAATATATAAATGTTAAAAAAAATCTTTTTAACTTTAAATAAACAAAATTTATCCTCTTTTGCTCTAATGATGTATAAAAATCTCCAAGGCTTCCCACTGGGAGGGGATCGTTCTCTTTCTATGAAACATGCCATGTAAAATTCTTAGAGTAGGAGAAAGAATGTGTGTGTGTGTGTGTGTGTGTGTGTGTGTGTGTGTGTGTGTGTGTCTGTGTGTGTGTCTGTGTGTCTGTGTGTGTCTGTGTGTGTCTGTGTGTATGCAGAAGAGGGGCAGACAGGGAAAGAGAATCCCAAGCAGGCTTTGTGCTGAAATTGTGCTCATGAACTGTTGAGATCATGATCTGAGCTGAAATCAAGAGTTGGCCATTTAATGGAATGAACCACCCAGGTGCCCCATTCTCCTGTTAATCTCTCTGTTGTTAGTTCATTTCACAGACCTAGCAGAAGAACCTAAGAGAGTGACGAAAATATTCTTCCCACACAACATCATGCTAAAACAACTTCACAGGTCTTTTTGGTGTTTCTATTCTAGAAGCAAGAAACTTTCTCAGAGTGTGTAGTGTGTACTTTAGAATGCTGTTTACTTACTTTCTTGCCCTAATCCAAAATTATCATGAATTAAGAACTATGGCTTTATTTTAAAGTCAGTGTGTGTGTGTGTGTGTGTGTGTGTGTGTGTGTGTGTGTGTGTGTG